GCGCCAGTGGGCGAGAGTACTGGGCAGGGTGACCTCCCGGGAAGTCCTCGTGTCGTACCCATTTCTGCCTGCTCCCGTGCCCGGGAGGCGGCAGTGGGAAAAAGAAAGGAGGATTCTTCCCGAACCGCCCGGGCGGCGATGTCGCGCCGCTCTGCGGGAGGGCCGCTCTCTGCATAGGACGCCCGGAGCGTGACTACAGATGGCGTCGCCCAGCGAGATGGCGAGCCTCTTGCGGGCACGACCGCGGATGTGACTATAAAGGGGGAGCTGCCTCAGGGGAGGAGTGGGAAGCGGACCGCGGAGGGTCACGTGGTACGATCAACCTTGGCTACTACGCCGGATCCCATCAGAACTCCGCAGCTAAGCGCCAGTGGGCGAGAAGTACTGGGCAGGGTGACCTCCCGGGAAGTCCTCGTGTCGTACCCATTTCTGCCTGCTCCCGTGCCCGGGAGGGGCAGTGGGAAAAAGAAAGGAGGATTCTTCTCCGAACCGCCCGGGCGGCGATGTCGCGCGCTGCGGGAGGGCCGCTCTCTGCATAGGACGCCCGCAGCGTGACTACAGATGGCGTCGCCCAGCGAGATGGCGAGCCTCTTGCGGGCACGACCGCGGATGTGACTATAAAGGGGGAGCTGCCTCAGGGGAGGAGTGGGAAGCACCGCGGAGGTGCACGTGGTACGATCAACCTTGGCTACTACGCCGGATCCCATCAGAACTCCGCAGCTAAGCGCCAGTGGGCGAGAAGTACTGGGCAGGGTGACCTCCCGGGAAGTCCTCGTGTCGTACCCATTTCTGCCTGCTCCCGTGCCCGGGAGGCGGCAGTGGGAAAAAGAAAGGAGGATTCTTCCCCGAACCGCCCGGGCGGCGATGTCGGTGCGGCTCGCGGGAAGGGCCGCTCCCTGCATAGGACGCCCCGCAGCGTGTCTACAGACATGGCGTGCGGCCCAGCGAGATGGCGAGCCTCCCTCTCGCGGGCATGACCGCGGATGTGACTTATAAGGGGGGAGCTGCCTCAGGGGAGGAGTGGGAAGCGCACCGGGGTGAGGGTCCCCCGTGGTACGATCCAACTTGGCTACTACGCCGGATCCCATCAGAACTCCGCAGCTAGCGCCAGTGGCGAATAGTACTGGGCAGGGTGACCTCCGGGAAGTCCTCGTGTCGTACCCATTTCTGCCTGCTCCCGTGCCCGGGAGGCGGCAGTGGGAAAAAAGAAAGGAGGATTCTTCCCCGAACCGCCCGGGCGGCGATGTCGTGCGGCTGCGGGAAGGGCCGCTCCCTGCATAGGACGCCCCGCAGCGTGACTACAGACAGGCGTGCGGCCCAGCGAGATGGCGAGCCTCCCTCTCGCGGCATGACCGCGGATGTGACTATAAAGGGGGGAGCTGCCTCAGGGGAGGAGTGGGAAGCGCACCGGGGTGGGTCCCCGTGGTACGATCAAACCTTGGCTACTACGCCGGATCCCATCAGAACTCCGCAGCTAAGCGCCAGTGGGCGAGATAGTACTGGGCAGGGTGACCTCCGGGAAGTCCTCGTGTCGTACCCATTTCTGCCTGCTCCCGTGCCCGGGAGGCGGCAGTGGGAAAAAGAAAGGAGGATTCTTCCCCGAACCGCCCGGGCGGCGATGTCGTGCGGCTGCGGGAGGGCCGCTCCTGCATAGGACGCCCCGGCAGCGTGACTACAGACAGGCGTGCGGCCCAGCGAGATGGCGAGCCTCCCTCTCGCGGGCAGACCGCGGATGTGACTATAAAGGGGGGAGCTGCCTCAGGGGAGGAGTGGGAAGCGCACCGGGTGAGGGTCCCCGTGGTACGATCAAACCTTGGCTACTACGCCGGATCCCATCAGAACTCCGCAGCTAAGCGCCAGTGGGCGAGAATAGTACTGGCAGGGTGACCTCCCGGGAAGTCCTCGTGTCGTACCCATTTCTGCCTGCTCCCGTGCCCGGGAGGCGGCAGTGGGAAAAGAAAGGAGGATTCTTCCCCGAACCGCCCGGGCGGCGATGTCGTGCGGCTGCGGGAAGGGCCGCTCCCTGCATAGGACGCCCCGCAGCGTGACTACAGACAGGCGTGCGGCCCAGCGAGATGGCGAGCTCCCTCTCGCGGGCATGACCGCGGATGTGACTATAAAGGGGGGAGCTGCCTCAGGGGAGGAGTGGGAAGCGCACCGGGTGAGGGTCCCCGTGGTACGATCAAACCTTGGCTACTACGCCGGATCCCATCAGAACTCCGCAGCTAAGCGCCAGTGGGCGAGAATAGTACTGGGCAGGGTGACCTCCCGGGAAGTCCTCGTGTCGTACCCATTTCTGCCTGCTCCCGTGCCCGGGAGGCGGCAGTGGGAAAAAGAAAGGAGGATTCTTCCCCGAACCGCCCGGGCGGCGATGTCGTGCGGCTGCGGAAGGGCCGCTCCCTGCATAGGACGCCCGCAGCGTGACTACAGACAGGCGTGCGGCCCAGCGAGATGGCGAGCCTCCCTCTCGCGGGCATGACCGCGGATGTGACTATAAAGGGGGGAGCTGCCTCAGGGGAGGAGTGGGAAGCGCACCGGGGTGAGGTCCCCGTGGTACGATCAACCTTGGCTACTACGCCGGATCCCATCAGAACTCCGCAGCTAAGCGCCAGTGGGCGAGAATAGTACTGGCAGGGTGACCTCTCGGGAAGTCTCGTGTCGTACCATTTCTGCCTGCTCCGTGCCCGGGAGGGGCAGTGGGAAAAAGAAAGGAGGATTCTTCCCGAACCGCCGGGCGGCGATGTCGTCGGCTGCGGGAAGGGCCGCTCCCTGCATAGGACGCCCGCAGCGGCTACAGACAGGCGTGCGCCCAGCGAGATGGCGAGCCTCCCTCTGCGGGCAGACCGCGGATGTGACTATAAAGGGGGAGCTGCTCAGGGGAGGAGTGGGAAGCGACCGGGTGAGGGCCCGTGGTACGATCAAACCTTGGCTCTACGCCGGATCCCATCAGAACTCCGCAGCTAAGCGCCAGTGGGCGAGAATAGTACTGGGCAGGGTGACCTCCCGGGAAGTCCTCGTGTCGTACCCATTTCTGCCTGCTCCCGTGCCCGGGAGGCGGCAGTGGGAAAAAGAAAGGAGGATTCTTCCCCGAACCGCCGGGCGGCGATGTCGTGCGGCTGCGGGAAGGCCGCTCCCTGCATAGGACGCCCCGCAGCGTGACTACAGACAGGCGTGCGGCCCCAGCGAGATGCGAGCCTCCTTCGCGGGCATACGCGGATGTGACTATAAAGGGGGAGCTGCCTCAGGGGAGGAGTGGGAAGCGCACCGGGGTGAGGGTCCCGTGGTACGATCAACCTTGGCTACTACGCCGGATCCCATCAGAACTCCGCAGCTAGCGCCAGTGGGCGAGAATAGTACTGGGCAGGGTGACCTCCGGGAAGTCCTCGTGTCGTACCCATTTCTGCCTGCTCCGTGCCCGGGAGGCGGCAGTGGGAAAAAGAAAGGAGGATTCTTCCCGAACCGCCCGGGCGGCGATGTCGTGCGGCTGCGGAGGGCCGCTCCTGCATAGGACGCCCGCAGCGTGACTACGAGGGCGTGCCCCAGCGAATGGCGAGCCTCTTGCGGCATGACCGCGGATGTGACTATAAAGGGGGAGCTGCCTCGGGGGAGGAGTGGGAAGCGCACCGGCGGAGGCCCCGTGGTACGATCAAACCTTGGCTACTACGCCGGATCCCATCAGAACTCCGCAGCTAAGCGCCAGTGGGCGAGAGCAGTACTGGGCAGGGTGACCTCCCGGGAAGTCCTCGTGTCGTACCCATTTCTGCCTGCTCCCGTGCCCGGGAGGGGCAGTGGGAAAAAGAAAGGAGGATTCTTCCCGAACCGCCCGGGCGGCGATGTCGGCGGCTGCGGAGGGCCGCTCCCTGCATAGGACGCCCCGGAGCGGACTACGCAGGCGTGCGGCCCAGCGAGATGGCGAGCCTCTTGCGGGCATGACCGCGGATGTGACTATAAAGGGGAGCTGCCTCGGGGAGGAGTGGGAAGCGCACCGGGGAGGTCACGTGGTACGATCAACCTTGGCTACTACGCCGGATCCCATCAGAACTCCGCAGCTAGCGCCAGTGGGCGAGAAAGTACTGGGCAGGGTGACCTCCCGGGAAGTCCTCGTGTCGTACCCATTTCTGCCTCTCCCGTGCCCGGGAGGGGCAGTGGGAAAAAGAAAGGAGGATTCTTCCCCGAACCGCCCGGGCGGCGATGTCGGCGCTGCGGAGGGCCGCTCCTGCATAGGACGCCCCGCAGCGTGACTACGAAGGCGTCCGGCCCAGCGAGATGGCGAGCCTCCTCTGCGGGCATGACCGCGGATGTGACTATAAAGGGGGGAGCTGCTCAGGGGAGGAGTGGGAAGCGCACCGGGGGAGGGTCCCCGTGGTACGATCAAACCTTGGCTACTACGCCGGATCCCATCAGAACTCCGCAGCTAAGCGCCAGTGGGCGAGAAAGTACTGGGCAGGGTGACCTCCGGGAAGTCCTCGTGTCGTACCCATTTCTGCCTGCTCCCGTGCCCGGGGGGGCAGTGGGAAAAAGAAGGAGGATTCTTCCCCGAACCGCCCGGGCGCGATGTCGGCGCTGCGGAGGGCCGCTCCCTGCATAGGACGCCCGCGCGACTACGAGGGCGTGCGGCCCCAGCGAGATGGCGAGCCTCTCTGCGGGCATGACGCGGATGTGACTATAAAGGGGGAGCTGCCTCGGGGAGGAGTGGGAAGCGCACCGGGTGAGGTCCCCATGGTACGATCAAACCTTGGCTACTACGCCGGATCCCTCAGAACTCCGCAGCTAAGCGCCAGTGGGCGAGAATAGTTATTTTATTAATAACAAAGAGAGTTACAAGTCATATAGCCAATATGAAACCGAAGTTGGAAATTTCGGCATGAATGTTACGCTATACGACCACAGTAATGTTTTTGGAAGTTAGGAAGAGAAGGGAAAGAAGAGAAGAGAAAGTAGAGAGGAAAAGAAGAGAAGGGAAGGTAGAAAGAGAGGGAAAGAAAGAGAAGGATAGAAGAAGTAGGAGGATCAAGAAAGATAAGAGTAAGGGAAAAGAAAGGGGGAGGTGAGAGAGGTGGAAGAGAGGAGGGGTGTGACTGTAAGGAGGGAGGGGTCCAAGGGACACGACAAAGCAGCAACCCGCGCCTACAGCGCAGACACAGCGTTTCAAGCACAGCCTACTCTTGTTTTCATCTACACATAGCCATCAAACAGGTACTGCATATCGGCCACACTGTCAAAGCAGCCACTGATGTGATGTCCGCTCCAGCTGCCTGCGCCAAGCGGTACCGGTATCGGCATCCATGCATCGTCCGACTCTCCCAGCTGTCGCACTGCATGCTGTGTGATAATGTTCGCCTGCGCACGCTGCAGCGCCACTGAAACTCGCGTGGTGAGAGCGCACTCAAAGATCCGCGCCGATGCCTCCTCCCCACTACCCGCGTCCCGCCGCTGCGTCGCTATGCGCTGTGAGCAGAGCCCCAGAAAATCTCGCAGTGGCACGCTCAAGTGCCCGAAAGTCTCAGCAACGCACGCATAGAACATCGGCTCCGGCTGCACTCCTACCAAGGCCGGCCGCCAGTCCCTGATCTTCTCCTGCACCCGCCTCGTCGCCGCCACCCCCCGCTGTGTGGATGCCGCTCGCCGAAACTGTGCGTTCCCACCCCGCTGTGGATCCGCTATCGACACGTCTATAATAATCATGAGTGCCTTCTCAGCGTCGCGGCATGTGAGGTCGGGGATGCGTGCGGGTGCTCCTGCGCGGCCTGCGCGTCCGGCTGTGCTGTGCTGCAGTGTGGGCTGCTGCCTAGTCGTGTCCTGTGGTCCCCCTCCTCCTTGTGCCATTGTCCCCCCTCATCCTCCTCTCTCACCCTCCCTTCCCTTTCCCTTGCCCCTACCCCTCCCAACCCCCCTGCCTCTCCTATCCCCTCCCCCAGACCCTCTCCATCTACCTGCCCCGCTCCTCCCGTCCTCCCCACTCCCTCGCCCCCCCCCGTCCCCCCTGCTATCCCCCCTCCCCGTGCCACTCTCTCGCCCTCCTGTGCCCCTGTCCCCTGGCGGGGATCAAGCTCCACACCCCCTCTGGCCCCTCTAGCTGCCTCTGGCCCGTCCCGTGCTCGGTCCCCTGCTATCTGACCCCCCCCTCGACCATGACTATCTCCTCGATCTCCTCCCCCCCACCACCCTGTGGTCGGGCTGCCCCCCCCTCTCCTGCGGTACCCTGAGTCCTTTCCCCCCGAGCCCCATCCGCCCTTCCCCCTTCCTGAGCCCCCCGTCTCCCTCGCCCCAGGCGCCTCCCCTGGCCCTCCCTCAGCTGCGGCTGCTGCGGCTGTACCGTCCCACCGTGTGAAACGGGCTGTCCCTGTGGCCGTGGCCCCTGTCCAAGGACTCCCGCCTCTGTCCCCCGCGTCTGCGGCACCAGCCGTGCCTGCTGTCCCGACTGTCCCGGCAGTCCCCACACTCCCTGCTGTCCTGGTGCTCCCCCCCCTCCCTCGTGTCCCTCCCCCCCACCCTGCTGCCCCTCCCCCCCTCCTTGCTGTCCCTCCCCCCCACCCTGCTGTCCCTCCCCCCCTCCCTGCTGTCCCTCCCCCCCTCCCTGCTGTCCCTCCCCCCCTCCCTGCCGTCCCTCCTCCCCTCCCTGGGCCCTCTGTGCCCCCCGTCCTGTCCGAGTCCGTCCCTGTGCCAGCGTAGGCCCTCCCGCCTGTGCCCCCTCCCGCTGCTGCTGGGCTGTCAAGCGCCGTCGCACCTCCTCCAGGTGTGGGATGAGCGCCGTGTCCTCCACCCTGACCGCGAAACCCGCCTCGCGCGCGATGTCGCGAAGGACGTACTTCACGGCGTTGTGGACGGTCGTGGTGACGTGGTAGTGCTGACAGCGTACGACGTGGTGGGGCACCGACATGTCCTCGATCTCCCGTCCGCACGAGCAATGACCTGTAAGGGCTAACTGGGGGATAGACAGACCAAGGCGAAAACATGAAGCCACCTGCCACTGCGCCTCCGGGATGCGCAGTGGATCTGCATAAGGGACCGCCGTGAGCCACGCGCCTGCATCTGCGCCCTGAAGGGATGTCAAACGGGCAAGATGCAAAGGGTCAGTGTGACGTCCACGAACGGACTCTAATGCCGCCGCCTCTAGGTGCCGACTCACCTCAGAAAACAGACCGTCCGGCGCGCTCGAGATGCAAGAGGACAGGGGTGGCAGCAAGGCCCGGACTGCCGGTGGAAGGTCTGCCAAAGCCGTCGCGATGTGGGGATCGATCCCTGCGGGGTCCTCCGCCGCGAGCGCCCGTCTGAAGGACTCACCGATCTGTGGGAGGGAGCAGAGGATGGGGGCGCACTGCGCCCAGGAGCAGAGGTAGCTCGCTGGCGCCGCGCGCGCCATGCGGCGGATGCCGAATCCGCCCAGCCTAATGGGCAGAAATGCCTGGTCCAAGGCCGCGCCGCGTATCTCTCCTCCTCCGCTCCAGGTGCCCGCGACAAATAGCCGCTGGAAGGCCTCGCCGAGGCCATCGTCCCAGCGCGCGAAGATGGAGCGCACCGCCTGTGTGGGCGGGACCGTGCGCGCTAGGTACTGAGGGCGCGTGCTGACGCATGCGGAGAGCAGGTGCGCAGCCACCTGGGGGTCCCGTAACCTAGGCAGCCACGGCAGCACTCGGGCCATCCGCTCCAGACGCTCCCTGAGTCTCGTGTGGACGAAATCCTCCGTGCCAACAGGCACCCCCGCAACCGTCAAACCCCGGCGCGCGACATCGAGGCCGAGGGCGGTGAAGCCTGCCAACTCCTCCGGTCGTGTGGACGCCGCTGGGTAGACCAGGCACTTGTGCGGCTGGACCGAGAGGCCCAGCTCGCCCAAGCGCCTCTGAATGGCAGTGAAGCTCTGCAACACCCTCTCTGGTGTGCCCAGGACGTACGTGTCATCCGCGTATGACCACAGCTGCACGTCCCGTCCGCCAGCACTGGCTCCAGTGCCAGCCTCTGTGTCAGGGCAAAGAGAAATGGGCTCAGAGGGTCGCCCTGACGAGATCCTCGCTCTGAGCGGATGGTGGTGACTCCTCGCCCGGTCCGAAAGAACAGCGAGGATGGCGTGCCGTAGAAAAGGGCAACGAAAGGGATGAGGCAGCGAAACTCGGAGCTCGCTCGCAGTGCCTCGAACAAGCGATCGCGGTGATACGAGTTAAAGGCGTTCGCCACGTCGAGCTCGACGACCACCCAGTCCGGGTGGTCCGCCCTGCCGCGACGGACGCCCCTAACGACCAGCTCAGTACCGCAGGTCACCCCGACCCCGAACTGCTGTGATGGTAGGAAGACTCGAGCCATCGGTTCGCGCAGCTGCAGGCATGCCGCCCGCTGGAGTAGGCGCGCAAGGACCTCCCCTATGGCTATCGGCCGAACGTCCATGTTCGGCTTGGAGAGCGCGACGAGGGTGGATGATGCCAGCATGGGAAGTGCGGCCGGGGCGCAGTCGCCCCGGAGCCACTGCTGGTAGACAGCAAGCAAGGTAGGGAGGGCCTTCGGGAAGGCCAAGAAGGTGTCGCGGAAGTGCTCGGCCACCCATCCCGAAGGTCCTCCCGAAGAGCCCCTCGGAGCGGTGAAAATGGCCCTGCGCAGATGCTCAATGCTCAGGACCAGGGCTGCATCCCGGAAGGAGGCCACCCATGCTGGGATGGGGCGCTCCGCGCAAGGGTGCTTCGCCCGTAGGCGGTGCACCGTCTGATCTCCGTCCGGGGCCGCCTCTGCCGACTCCAAGGCCGCACAAGCACGTGACGTCTCATTGCACGCTGCCAGGCGGAGGCAACGGGCAATGCGGCGCTCGTCAGGCGTCGGAGTCGCGGCGCGGGCGCGGCGTGTCGTGCATGCCGCGAGGGGTGTGCGGCGGTGGAGCGCCTCTGCTATGAGGGCGTCCCAATCTCCACCAAGGAAGCGCGCAATGCGCGCAGTGATGGCCGCCGTATGTGATTGTGCAGGTGGTGTAGCTGGCGTGAGGAGGAGGGTCGGGATGGCCAACAGCAGAAACGTCGGTCCGCCCGCCCTGGGGTGCTGGCTGATGCGCTGCAAGATCGCGCAGAGGACATCCACGTACCCCCCGCGAACCCTCGGCGGGATACGCCGGAGCGGGCGAGCATGCATGCGTCTCGGTGAGAAATAATCCGTCCAATCGACCGCATCCAAGGACGACCACTGGGCGTCCGAGAATGTGACGACGGAGGCGCGTGGCTCGCTGAATGAGGGAGGGGAAGAGGTGGCATCCTGAAGGGCCTCAGCCCTGCGTAGAGCATCGGCCGGCTGACAATGGGGTGCATGGAGAGCAAGAGCGTGGCTGCTCACCAAGGTGCTCCGGCAGGTAGGACACGTGACCGCTAGTCCTCCTGTCGGCACCGCTGTGTCGTGCGGGGGGACTGGCATCGTGCTCTCCGAGCCGTCAGCGCCGACAACCGCCTCTTCGATGGGCCCCTGTCCGAGGTCGGTGGCCCAAGTGGGGGGCGGGCCGTGCGTCTGGGGCGGGCAAGGCAATGGCCGGGGGGAGGCGCGACGGCGGGATGCGCGGGCGTGGGTGAGGATGGTACGACCAGGGGGACAGTGACCAGGGCGGGGCATGCGTCCGGATGGCAGGCTAGCTCAGTGGCCTCGCCGGGGGACGTAGGAGCTGGGGTGTGGGCAGCAGGAGCAGTGGACGCATCTGGGCAGAGGGGGTGGTCGGGGGCCGCGTCGGAGTCATCGATCACCATGCGCTCCGGTGTGAGGGCGGTGGACGGGGGGGAAGGGGGGGCATGGGAGATGTCTGGAGCAGGGTCCACGGTGCCCCCCCCCACCCGACCCGGACAAGCGGGCGCAGAGGGGGTGGCGGACGCGTCCCATATCCTGAGAAGGTCGGCGACTGCCGCCTCCGTCTCCCCATCTGCCCCCTGCGACTGTCCGCCTGTGGGTAGGGGGAGCAGGGCAGGCTGGTTGGTCGTGGTGGGCGAACCACCGTGGGCCCTGACCTGGGTGAGAGGTTGTGGACCGGAGGGGGACAAAGAAGCGGGTGGTGGGGACCGACGCTGGGGGGGATATAGGCTTGCTTGCGAGAGGCTAACGACACCTCTTCCGCCTCTGGTTCGATTTCCATCGCGGATGGGGCATCGGCGGCGACCGTCTGGTGGGGGGCCAAGGCGGGATGGGGGGGTGACAGGGGAGTGGGGCCTGGGTGGGGTGAGGGAGGGAGACCGTCCGAAGCTCGCCATCCTGGTTATGGGAGGGCAGTGGGTGGCGGGCCGGGGGCAATGATGGGGTTGCCTGAGGGGTGGTGGATGGTAAGGGCTGCACGCCAGCAGAGGGTGGAGTCGTGTCCGGCTGCTCCGAGCGCCGGGCTGCCCCGGGTGTCCCCGTGCCCTTGCCCTTCTTCCGGCGACCTGTGTGGGGTTGGGCAAACTGTCCAATCAGCGGCTGCCGTGTGACCGCCCCCTGCTGTGGGTGAGGAGTGTGAGAATGGGGCAGCTGGGAGGGTGAGGGGGTGTGGCCGCCGATGGCCGCTTGCCGCGATGGGTTAGCCTGCGCATGGATGGCGGCCTGCCCTGGGGCGGGTGCAGATGGGGACAGGGGGAGAAAGTGAGGGGTGGTGGCGGTGGTGGAATCGGCAGCACCGTCCGCAATGCCCCGCCCTCCCCCGACACCTTCCCCGTCCCCTTCCCCCTGGGCGTCTGCCGATATCGCTGCCTGTGCGGAGCGACGGTAAGGGGGGATGTAGGGTTGGGAGGAGACATCATGCAGGTCCCCTACTCCTGTTTTGTCGACGTCCATCGCGGATGGGTGGCTCGCTGCGACCACCTGAATACTGACGGGCAAGGAGTGTGTGGGGCAGGAAGGGGGAGGGTGAGATGGGGGGGCCGCCCTCGCCTCGCCCCTGTTCGCGCTGATGGGTCGGGCGGGAGTAGGGGGGCAGGGCAAGAGAGGTGGTTGGGCAGTAGGGTAAGGGTTAAGCGCGGGTGGGACGCTCAATGGAGGGGGTGGGAAGGGTGGGTGCCCCAGCGCTGGGCTGGAGGGTGTGTGGGACGGAAGTGACAAGGGAGGGCCCAAGAGGGAGGCACTCCCGTGGTCGCCTGCCGTGCGGGACATGAAACCTGGGGGCTGCACGAAAGGGCGCGAGGGGAGTTCCGGCTGGATTGCCGGGGAAAGGGGGCGGGTGGGATGTGTGGGAGAGGGAGGGGGGGGGCGGGGCGCGGGCAAGGTAGGGCCCACGGCCGGGAAGGGAAGCAGAGTGGGCGCCGAGGGACCCCCGCCTGGCCCGAAGCTTAGCTGTGGGGCTTGGGAAGTGGGATCAGCCGGGGTGAGACGGCGAGGGCCGAGAGGGAGTTGATTCGGGTTGCTCCCCCTTGCCGGGGGTGCACCCCGCTCACCGTTCCTATGGGAAGCGCCCGTGTGGCCGACAGGGTGTGTGCCCTGTGCCGGGCGGGAGGCACCTGGGGTGGAACAGGGTTGGGGGCGGACTGACGAGGGGGGTTGGGCAAGAGCCGCCCCTCCTTGTGCTACCCAGGTCGAGGCGTCCGGCGCGACAGCCTGCGTGGGTGGGGAGGGGGAGGGAGCAACCTGCCCGGCTGTTGTTTGTGCTCCTGGCGCCGGCGCGAGGGCTGCTGAGGGAGAGCAAGGAAGGGTTGGGTCGACCAAGATATATCCGGCGAGCGGGCCATCATTGTCCGAGCCATCCTCGGCGGCCGCCTCTTGGGGCACACTCGGCCGTAAGGGGAGGGTGTGGGGGGAGAGGGAGTGGTGAGACTGCGTCCCGATCATTGGCTCGGGTGTACAGGGGTCCGCCAAAAACGCCAAGGCTCGGGCCGCCCCGCCCATAGCCCTGGGTTGTAGCCCACGGCGAGGGCCCTGCGCCGCTGGTGAAGCCCCTGCATGCATGGGATTGGGAGTAGGGGGGGGAAGGGGGGGACGGGGGACCGCA